ATGTCAAAAACTTCACAAATGCTTCTTCTTCTTCTACAGTGTTTCGAGCCATTGAGGTTCATTGCTGCAGATACTACCAGTCTCCACTCATCTCTGTACCTGGCCTTCTCTTTCCAGTTTGCGACACCAGGTGTTTGCAGGTCTGTCCGGACGTTATCTCTCCATCGTCTTCTTGGTCTGCCTCGTCGTCTACGACCATTCAGCTCCATTATGTATATAGTTTTTACCTCTCTGTTATTTGACATTCTCTCGATATGTCCAAGCCATTTCAGGCTATCGGATCCCATGGTACCAGTAATCAAAGGTGATTTAAACAGATTATGAATTTCGTTGTTGCTTCTCACTCTCAATCCCTTCTGTTTGCATCTTTAATTTGTCCAAAGATTGTTCGTAATACTTTTTTTTTTTTTTTCGAAAATTTGTAATAAACCTTCATCTCTTCAAGTTGTGCTCCACATTTAAGAGCCACATAAAACGATTGGTCTTATTAACGTTTAATATATTTTGATCTTGGTGTTGCGAGATGCAGACTTTAACTGTAGCAGATCTTGAAGCTCGTAGTATAATTTATATTCAGATTGTATTCTATATTTCTTTCACCGACACTCCACAAGTGCTGGTGGCAGAAAAATCATGCAAGTTCAGATACCCAATTTAGCCTTTATGGAACTTATGACATTGTCATTGCCACTTAGAGAGATGGGACGTTCTGTGGATTTTGGAAGCAACTTGTCCACATCACTGCTAAAAATATGAGAATTAGGAGTAAAGATTGGCATAGCCAAGCATGAGAAGCACATCGGACGCACACGAAGTCTTGTTAACCAACATAGGACTGGCACTATTAACCGCACGACGCTGATGAATATGTTGAGAGGGGAATCTGAGTGCCCATGGATGTGTCTGGAGTGCTGTGAAGATAATCTAGCTCATAACTCATAACTCGTGGAATGAATCTAATTAGGGCACCCGCCAAAATCACGCCAGCGTGGTGTCACCATTGTCCTGTGCTGGTAGATGGTAGGTCCTGTGCTGGTAGATGGTAGGTGCTGTGCTGGTAGATGGTAGGTGCTGTGCTGGTAGATGGTAGGTCCTGTGCTGGTAGATGGTAGGTGCTGTGTTGGTAGTTGGTAGGTGCTGTGCTGGTAGATGGTAGGTCCTATGCTGGTAGATGGTAGGTGCTGTGCTGGTAGATGGTAGGTCCTGTGCTGGTAGATGGTAAGTCCTGTGCTGGTAGGTGTTGTGCTGGTAGATGGTAGGTGCTGTGCTGGTAGTTGGTAGGTGCTGTGCTGGTAGATGGTAGGTGCTGTGCTGGTAGATGGTAGGTGCTGTGCTGGTAGATGGTAGGTGATGTGCTGGTAGATGGTATGTCCTGTGCTGGTAGATGGTAGGTGCTGTGCTGGTAGATGGTAGGTGCTGTGCTGGAGAGAAAAAATATAAAATCGTCACGTTCAACCAGCATCCCTGAAGATAACTTTAGATTATAATTGTGACCAGGTTATTTGTGCCATATAGAATGGCGTAACATTGCTCAACACCAAGTAGCCCGGGAAAAAAAAAACTCATGCAGGGTTGATGCGATTGAAGAAGACAGACCGAAATATTGTCCCCATCGACGACCGGTGGTGGAGGATGTCCAGTCTTATGCTAGTCATGAGCTGTGAATTAATGAGATTTAACCACACCAAAACATCCACTAAGCGATAATAACATGATGACACAAAGGGCCACCATGCAGATGAGGATCAACCAGGAAGAGGTTTCAGAAACCCGGTTCATCCGTTAGGTTATATTAGGGCCCCCGACTACAGCCGGGGTGGGGCTTTAAAATAACGAAAAACTGCGTACCGTTTCAGGAAGACTTCGGTGTTGTAGCTGGTTGGTAGTTGTACCCCACCCGGACATCACACAAGCGATAAACACCCGCTGACACAAAGTGCCACCATGTGGATCAGGATCACCAGTAGAGAGGTCCTGGGAACCCCTTTCAAACGTCATGTTATATCTATGGCTAGGCCATATTTATGGCCCGTCTATATTCAGGGCCCCCGGCAAAAGCCAGGGTGGGCCTTCAAAAAAAAAAAAAAAATTGCATACCGCAAGGGGACGACCATACTTAATGAGTTGTACAGGGTGATCTGCCTTTCATTTACCGTTCTTGGATATATTATCTTCTTCTATAACCGCAAAGAAACAGGCTCGGAAAGGGAACAAAGGTACTGAAAAAGTACACACGCTGTGAGAAGTTTATTTTACTGTGTTGTCTCTCTTAGATAGCTGTGACAACGTCATGTTGATCACAACTGTTATTGTGGCTCTTAATGAATTTCAGACCAGATTTTTAAAAAATTATTTACTCTCTTTTGTTGTGTATGCGTGATAATTGAAAAGTTTATTTTCGTCATTTCAATATATATATATATATATCCAGAAATGCGTGGCCGAATACAGCCAGTACACACACTTACACACACACACACACACACACACACACACACATATATATATTATATATATATATATATATATATATATATATATTATATATATATATATATATATATATATATATATATATATATATATATATACTGGCTGTATTCGGCCACGTGTTTCTGTGGCATAGTCTGGCTAACTAGGGGGAGAAAAAAAGGCTCACGTGTCTGATATGGTTAATTTCACAGTCATTGTCTGCGCAGATATTAAGAGAGTCTGGTTTGAAGACTCTAAAACACGCATCATATAATTGTATCCTTGTACTAGTGTTCGTTTAAAGTGTATTATTAGGACTTTTAAAAAAAATGTTTTTTTTTTTTTTTGATTATCACATGCTGAGGCTTGTATTTTTTGAAGAGCACAATGTAAAGTTTACTACTGTGCGTGTAAACCCCCCCCCCCTTTTTTTTTTCCCCCCCCCCCCCCCCCCCCGCCCAATATAGCTGATTTAGGTAATAAAATATAAAAAAAAAAAGAATGAAAACTGTAAAATCGTGTTTTAAGCTCTTTCAGTTAACAGTTTTTCTGTCACCCGTCCACCCCCCCCCCCCCCCCCCCCAATCAATCGACTACTCCTCTCTCCATTTCGAAAGGATTTAAAATTCATCACACATTTTTTTTTAAAATTGACTTTGGCATCCGTGTTCACCCAGACTAAAATGGGTTGCAGAAATTGTTTTTAGAAGTGAATGCGGCCAGTGTAATATTTACCACATTACACATCGAGTACCAGTACTACTACTACCACGATCACCAGCACCACAACAAGAAATCTGTCACTATCGCCTGTTTTATCAAATGTCTAGGTCGATGTAGACAGGGGGTCGTGAACCGCATGGCTAGAGTTGTCGCCACGGACTGTTCAGGCTATGATGTTTAATTGTGACCTCGACATAAAAACTCTATCATCCTTGCTGAGGGTCGAACCCGAGTCTCCCGCATGACAGTCTGACCCAGTCAACAACTACTACTATAAGATTTCTGAGGTCTACAGTCAAAGTTTAGGAACGGACCAATAAAAAGGAAATCGGATCGTCGGAAAGCAAAACCAAGATGCCGATGTGATTGTGACTGGAACTATGTAGTTCGTAATTTGTGCGACACTCTTATGTAAAAACACGCGCGTATTAAAATGCATCGATGTGTCAAAATTTCCAAGCAATCGATGAAGAACTTTCAGAAGACATCTTCATGCAAATTTATGAGGTCTACAGTCAAAGTTCGCCTGCTAATTAAAAGTCCGCTACTAGATCGTGGCAACAAAAGAAAAAATAATTCGAATGCAACGTTGGATCACAACATGAAAGCAATCGGTGAAGAACTGTCGAAGATTAGAGTTGAATAACAAACGGACATTTACACACACACACACACACACACACATATATATATATATATGTGAAATGAGATGTTTGAGAATGGCTGCGAATAAAACCAGAAGAGATCGAGTGAGAAACGATGTGATTACAAGAACTATTGGAACCATACCCATCGTTAAATTTATTGAGAAGCAAAGAATGAAATGGTTTGGTCACCTAATGAGAATGGAACCAACGATGCCAGCATCAAGAGCATACAACATGAAAATCGAAACAACAAGAGGCAGGGGAAGACCAAGAAGAAGATGGATTGAAGGAGTCACGGACAACTTGAGACTTCATAACATCACGGCATATGAAGCGACTGAGCGCGCCCTGGCTCGGTTGCCGATCATCTGATAGACTGCGACGCCTAGCGGCACAAGCAGATTTTGACAAAAGAAAGAAGTGCGATTCACAGGCTGCCGTCTAGAAATATGTTATTTGTATAGTTATTACTTGAAATATCAGCCCATGCTGTATACATGCACTTACATCCAATATCAAAATAAAATATATTTTAAAAAAAAATTCATATCCCAGCAAAAATTGTAACGTCTCCGCAATAAATATTGACTGCATTGCACATACTACTGCCTTTTTGGGATACATTGGCGGCTAGCCGTTCATGAGAGGGAAAGCGCGCCATATGGGATCAAACCCGTGCAATGAAGTCGATCCTTTATCTGTAAACTTTTTAAAGCGATGTAACCTGGAGTGGTCCCAGTCGCTTCCACGCTTAAATTACTACCAATCATCACCACACCTAAAAGATTATATGGATCACTCAATTATTCAAGTGTCGTCTCTACTATTAAGGTTGGCTTCAAAAGATCTTCACCGCACTCTATGTGTCTCTTGCGGTACACTCTCACAGAATGCTATTCTTCCATCTCTTGATATTTTCCTCTCATTTGTATCGCGTTCTTAGTGCCGACTTTCCCCCTTCCGTGTGGGTGTGGTTTTTTTTTTTTTTTCAAGTTAATAGTATAAATAATACCATCGGGTTTGGCCATAATTCGAAACAAAAATCAAGGAACAGGGGATTGAACTCTCACAACTTCCGTGCCGCCAGATAGGAATGGCATTCTTCATTACTTCCGACTAGTTGGTGTGTACATTCAGACCCCCCAAAAAAAACGCAAAATGAGTTCGTCTGCAAAGGTAAATATACTTAATCTTAAGTATAGTCTGCTTTGGAGTAATTTTTTTACGAAAAACAATACATAAATAATGTGCATTGCTTCAGAAACCTTGATTACCTATTGTCGATATGTAAACAAGTGATCTAGAAGTATTTAGTAGAAGTAGAATACTAAAACGAACAGCAGCAAGGGCGTACAACCTGAAAATCGAAACATCAAGAGGCAGTGGAAGACCAAGAAGAACTATAGGCTCTCCTTCGAACTTGTACCCCATATTATGGCAGCCAAACAAATACCCTAACAGGGGCTCAGTCGTGTGTAAAATGCGGACTTCCTCCGACGAACAGTCCGAACACATCGCGGCAAAGCTAGGATTACTTGACAATGTCACAACACGCAACACTGCAGACGATAATAGCGACATTTGACAATTTTGAATGTTTCTGCAGACGATACTAGTGACCATTGATAATGATAATTTTGAGACACCCAACATTACAGACAATAAAAGCGACATGGCGGGGGAAACCACTTGCTCTCCTAGTCCTACACAAATTGGCTATAGTATAGTGTTCTTCTGATTAAACTCACCACCGAGCGTATCCACCGCTACACGCAGATGGGGATCTAAACTAGATGCCTGGGACTCATGAGCAGATAAATTGGAGGAAGTTGCAGGAGATGCGGTAGTTGCTGCTCATGAGTCCCAGCCATCTCTAGTTTAGCCCTCCATCAATGCCGCACGTAGCGGCGCTGGGGATACTGTCGGCGGTGCAGCATAGTCACAGAAACAGGTCCACAATTATGATATGACTGAGACCGTTTTGTTACTCGGAGCTGATCCTAGTTTTGCCCCAATTTGTTTCTCGGCAGGAACTCCACATTTTGCATAGGACTGAGACCCTGTTAGGGTATTTGTTTGGCCGCCATAATATGGGGTAGAAGTTCGAAGGAGAACCGAAATATTAATATATATTCCGTAATATTAATATTATAATAATAATTACTATACATTATAATATAATTATGAACATATTTTTATTTTCAATAATCCCTTGCTCTTTTTCCATTCAATTTTTGGTATGATTGTAATCAAATGATTTACTTACCGACCTCTTGTCTTGCCAGTTAACTCTTTGAGTCCCAGGAAGTTTATCATCAGAGGCCCAAGGGGTAGTCAAGAAAGACGTTAAATCGGCACATTGCGTTCATTGGGCTTCTAGGTAGGAATCTATGAGCGTATAGCGTATGATGTGTTCCTTGGGACTCAGAGAGTTAATGCTAATTTTTTTTTCTTCTTTTGTCAACATCTGTTTATGCTGCTAGGCATCACAGTTCATAGAACGATCAGCAGCTGAGCCAGGGTGTGCTTAGTTGCTGGATATGCCTGGATGTTATGTAGTCTCAAGATGTCAGTCAGTGACTCCATTTATCCATTTATATAGAGGAGTGAAATATGTTGGGGTCAGTTTTTGTAGTTACGATTTAAAAATTAAAGATGGATGGCAACAGTGGTCCTAATATGGCCGGCACACTTATTGTGGAAGTTTTGTTTTAATGCAAGCTGGTCTTACCATCCTGACTAGCTGTGATGGTGGGGGGGGGGGGGGTGGCAAGGAATGAGTTTCGGGTGGGCTGTGATGAGAGCAATAGTGTCATCTGGCAGGGACCTGCAACGTGTTAAGAATGAGGTTGGCTTTTTCTGTTACGTGGCATTTATGTTTTCAGTCATAATTTGTAGGCAGTACCCACAATCTGACTGATCTAATCATATTTGAGTATTATTCTGACATGGGTCTGTTTTATTTGCCAGGTTGGAGAGATATTCACAGCTGCTGGGTCGGCTTTTACCAAACTTGGGGAGTTGACCATGCAGCTGCATCCTACTTCTGACCAGAGTGCAGGAGGAATAGGGTATGATGGCTTTGTTGTCCTCAGATTGCTGAGTTGCTACTCTTAAATAAAACTAAACTCATTTGTGTTTTTTTTTTTTTTTTTAGAGATAGTGTTCAGATACGGTAGGATGATCATAATCATGTGCCTTATCAGGTGGCCCAGGTGATAACGAGTTCTTTCTTTTTCTGTACAAGAAATGTACAATGAGTGATCCGCACTGAACTTAATTATATCTTTAACATTTGCCCTGAGTATAATAAAGAAACCTGGCTAGATATATGCACAAGATGCATACACATGTCGTAATTGTAACAGACTCTGAAAGCATGCTGAAAAAGGTGAAGACAGGGATGCTTTGAGCAGAGTGGAAAGGTCAAAGTGGTGAGCATACTTTTAATCTTTTCTCCAGGCTGCTGGCGTTGTGGGTAATGAATAGGCAGACAGATTGGCTGGATCTGCACCACTGGGTGATGAATTGATACACGACAAGGCAGATGTGGTCGAGACCCTTTGGGAACAAGCAACAGAATTAGTAGAGAAAGAAGATTATCATGGCCTGGAGAGAATGAGGCCCCTGGGTTTAACCAGAGGGTCTGGCCAGCTCACTACACTCAGAGGAAAGGCAAGGCGGACTTTTAACCAGATTGTGACTGGTACCGTTAGTATTGGAACTCTGCGTTGACTGCTGAAGATGAGAATGGAGCATGCATGGGAATGCCCCGAGTGCTGTGATGTCAATTCTTGACTCAACTCAGTCTGGCAAGATATTTTAATATGCTGTACTCCATCTGTTGCCACTATGAAACTGATATACTTTTGTTATTTTATTATGTTTATTATTCTATTTCTGTCAGTCAGTGAATGTTAAGAAGTATGATTTACTTTCTGCCAGCCATGGATTGTTAAGAAGTATGATTTAAAGTCTTCACATGATGTTTATGTGTGCTTATTCTATAGTCATTTGTATAGTTTTGTTTTTTCAGGGGCAAGTGGACAGAACAGGAGCTGGAAATGCTACGAACAGCTGTCAAGCGCTTTGGTGAAGACCTAAACAAAATTAGCGATGTTATCAAAAGTAGAACAATGTAAGTGAACCACTTTTCTTGGCAAACTGGTCTGCTGTTTGGCATGAAGTTAAAGTCAAGGAGATTGACTTCATTGCAACTGGTTATCCCATGTCGCTCAGTCCCTCTCAGCAGAATGGCTGCTGCATGTCCAGTACGTTGTACAAAGCATGTATTACGTAGCTCCAGTGGTGATTTTTTCTTTTAAATGCACTTGTTAACTGGGCAGCACATCGATGAAGTGAATCTATGGCCTTCAGAGTTTCATGCAAACAGTTTCACACTTTGTTGAATAAGTATATCTGTGAGACTACATCCAATTCTTTCAAATGCACACGATTGAAATTGATGACCATCTGGCCAGCAGACACCTTGTTTCTGGCCTGTGTTTGACTGAAAGACTGATATTCTTAGACATAGTATCGGTGGCAGAGTGGCCAGTTCATTTCTACATGAACTTTCCCTTTCAGACAATTGTAAAAGTTGTCTAGTACCCATTTATGTGAGACTGGTTTGATCACAGAAACGTTCACCAATGCCTCATAGCATGAACTATAAGAAAAGGTAAGGGTTGATCCCAAACCATGTTGGGGGAGGGGTAATCCTGCCTCTGCCTAGAATTCAGCCAGAACCTTTTGTGGCAGACAAGTACACTAACCTGTGTGCCGCTACAACTTAAATGGGCAGGGTTGGACCAGCAGGCACTGCAGAATAAGAAATTAAACAGAATGACTGTTTTGACAGGCAGATGAAGTGCATTGGGGTTCATAGCAAAACAAATGGATGACCCTTAGTGCAGCAAAGCTTAATGCATTATACCACAGCATATACTTTTGAGAATGGAGGTGGAGGCAGTAACTGCAGTTTTCTGTTGACCTGAGAACAAGCGGCACACACGTATTGTGATTGTAAAAGACTCACAAAGCAGGCTGTCAAAAATATTGATGGGCGCTGTAGTTGCAAAGAGGCAAGCATCGCTTCAGAAATCCTGAAAAGCTAAATTCTAAAAATTTTCCTAGGGGCATGTAAGTAAATAGACAAGATATATTGACTGGTTTTGCACGCTAAATAGTGGTATATTGACGCCTGACTTGGTTGGTTCCGCACAACATAGTGGTAAATTGATACATGACAGGCTAGATGTGAGTGAAAAGTGAGAAAGTACATATAGGTCCTCTTCTTCTCTTCCACCATTTACCTCAGCAAGGTGTTGGGGGTTAATGTATAGATCGTTTATGCACTTTTTCCAATTCATTGTACAAGGTGGTGTTCATTTCTGTTAGGCTGCTCTTGGGTGGGCTTCCTCTTGCTCTGTGTTGATTATATTTCTTCAGCGGGGCTCTATGTGGCAGTTGACAGCAGAGCATTCTCGTCAGGTGGCCAAACCATCTCATTTGTTGCTCTTTCTTTAATGAATTGTGTGACTGGTATCAGTCCTACTCTTCTTCTAATTTCTTCATTCCTGATTTTATCTCTTCTTGTCACACTGGCAGCTCTCCTAAAACATCTCATCTTTGTTGTTACGATCTTCCACTCGTTAGTTGAAGTAAGGGGACTGAAGTCCGGCATCTTCAGCTGTGTCCTGGTCTGAGATCTGCAGTCACAGATTGTGCACTGGTAGCAAATTGGCCAAAAAACAGTTCCTATGAGACTTGCTTTGTTTGACAGAGGTATCTTTCTATGCGTCAGAAGAATTAATCAAGTAACAGAAAGTGTAATGATCGGCACTCATAGAAAGAAATAGAAAGATAAAAGAACACACTAGGCAACATAAAAATAGAAAGCTATAGTTAACGTGCCGGGAATTGAACCTGTCAACTCCAGACGGCGTCTGCACCTCGCCATGGATACAAGTGCACTAAGAACATGGTCTACTAGGCACCCCTAAAAAACGGTGTCTTATTGGCCATGTCTATCATACAGCTTGAAATCCACAACTATGGAATACGGACAGAATTCATTTCAAACCATTAAAATGGCACCATTGGTTACAGAAATGTATATTAACGAAGCATATGTCAATTAACAATCTTAGCAACAATTTACGAACACAGCAGACCTTAATGCTCTGACTAGAATACACATTTAAGAAAGGTTTTTGATTGGTAGGTTCCAGTGTACATACGTCATTCCTATAAATAAACAGATGGGGAACCTTTGATTTGTTTATATGCGTCAGAAGCAGTGTTAAACAGATCATCACGGTCTGGAAAGGATAATACAGTGGAGAATGACCTGGGGTGTCTGACTGGCACTCAACACTCTGAGGAGAGGCAAAGCTGCTACATGTACCATCAAAATTGTAACTCTGCCCTGGCTTCCGAAAATGGGGCCAGGATGCTTATGAGAATGTCCTGAGAGCCATGATGTCGTGCGGCTCTTAGCTTAACTGAACAGGAAGGGGTGAACAATGTAAAAGGGCAATCTAGTCATATGATCCTGTAAACTGACATAACAAGGTCTTTCATTTGAATCCACTGTATCAATACCTTCCTTGATGTAATACTGACTTGACCTTGTCTGACTGTGACTGCAGCTCCCAAATCAGGACACAGCTAAAGAGAAAAGCTTATGAAGATGCAGGACTTCAGCCCCCAACGGCATCCACTCCAGTGAAGGCAGCAAATACCACAAAGGCTGCAGCTAAACAGGCGGTCCAGGCAGTTTCCTCGCAGGTTGTGGCTGAATCCCACTCTAAGAAACAGAAGACATCAGGTGTGTGCCACGACCCATTTAACGCCAAACAACTTCACTGGCCGTATATTATAGGTCTTTCTTGTCCTCTTGTGCCTTATCCGGCTGTTACTTTATTATCATAGTAAAGTAAAATAAGTAAAGTAAAGAACCCTTTTCCACACCTTCAGATGAACTGGGCATATAGGGCTAGAACTATATTTTATAGACCAATTGACACCCGATGGGGGATGTGGCCAACATCACGCCGGCCGTCTTTACTTCCCAGAACTTTACACCCAATTAAAGGCTAGGTCAACCTGGGAGCCAAGGTCGTTTATAAAAAAAAGTCTGGTTCCCCCGTGATCTGAACCCACGACCTTTAAAACACCAGGGTAGAATCTTGCAACTATATGCTGGCAGCTGTCATAGTAAAGTAGAGGACCTTTTTTATGTCTGTAGCACATTAAGCACATGATATTAAGCTCCTATTTTAATAGACCTATCAGGCTACCCCCCCCCCCCCCCCCCCCCCCCTCCTTCCCACAGTTTCTCAAATTCTTTATAAATTGTGTTAACAATTTTTTGTGTATAAATTTAGCATAACAGATAATTACAAGTACATTTGAACTTTACCCCCCCCCCCCCCCCCCCCTCCCCCGTCAATTCCTAAAGGTACGTCACCTGGATGAAAACAGCTGCTCTGTGTGCTCACTAATTTATCCCCTTGTTGGCATGCAATTAGTGACCAATCGGTTTATGTCCTGTAATAAGTGACCAATCGGTTTATGTCCTGTAATAAGTGACCATTCAGTTTATGTCCTGTAATAAGTGACCATTCAATTTATGTCCTGTAATAAGTGACTATTTGGTTTATGTCCTGTTTGTCAGTTTTGCTCTTTCAAGTTAGTGATCTAAAAAGTGCCATTAGGGGCTGGTTTACATTTTTATTTTTTTTATTTTTCCTCATTAGACTTAAATAATATAACTTTGTGACATCAGAATGTAAATACTGACCAGTTTGTCATAGGCTTCAGTTTTATGAGACTAGTTTTTTTTTTCTTCATTCATCTTTAAAAGGGTGACTGGTACTGTATGTTGTCATTTACAGTTAGAATGTGGTGTGTGTTATGACATCAATTTAGCATGGGCTGCGGATTTAGTAAAAAAAAAAACATTTTGCTACTGCCAATGGTCTGTTATCTCAATGTGTTGAATTTGGTCAGTATTTACAGAGTTAAAAAAAGATGATTTCTTGATTTGATTTTCTGCTTTGATGTAGTTTATCTGTGGCCTCCATTTTCAGAGGTGACTCTTAGTGCCCTGAATGCACCAGAAGGAGACGTGGACATTGAAGGGCTCGGAGACTCAAACACTCACAAGAAGCTGGACTTTGATTCAGGTGGGCAATTGATAGAACAGGGAGTTTGTGATTGTGCTTGTTTTCTAGTGAAGTACATATTGCTTTTAATACACCTAATGTGAGTTCTGAGACCCCTTTCGTAGGAATAAGAAAAAAAGAATAGACCCGACTGACCCCTAATAAGCATGTCATAAGAGTCAACTAATTAGGGATGTTTCCATGAAAGTTGGTATGCGTTTGCCTGAAAGATGAAGAACTGACAGTATACATACAAATAAGCCAAATCTATAACAGATGTACATGCAGAATTCAGGTTCTGGGACAAAAGTAGAAGCCAAGAAATGGCTGAACAACCAGAGCTTTCCATTGGTGTCTAAAGCTGATAGACGCACAGAAGAAGATTATATATAATACAATGCAGCCCAGTACCAGAGCACCACATAGCAGCCCTGCATTTTTTGAAACCTCTTTTGATGGCAGGGAGGACCAAATTCTCTGCCCCTGCGTTCCCTTGAGGGTCAACTAAGCTACACGCAGCTGCCCCAGACAGGTCCTCAAGGGACGGCACCTGTGGATCAGGGGAGGACTAAAGTACAGCACAAATTAGGCTATAAATTTCCCATGAAATCAACCGCGAGGCTAATCCAGGAAGTCAGATGTGTCGGCTGAAAGGTGGAAATGTGGCTGCTTTTCTTCAAACAGGCACAGTGCATTTACAAGACTCAGATGAACCATAAAGAAGAAAATGTTGCATTCTTCTTCATTCACCCTCATAAAGGGGACTTATTTTTGTTTTGTTTACAGCGCTAGAATCTAATTTTGCTTTTGAACCAACATAGAAATGCTAAAGATTTGGCATGTGTTATGACATTAGTTTAGCTTGGACTGTGGCTTCAATCTAAAACTAAAATTCAGGAGCGTTTTATAAACATTCTTGCAATGTTTAGCAAACAGGTGGAGAGAAGTAGATAGTAGGCCTGTAAGCACATAATTGGGGCTGTCTACGCTGGTCACCTTCTCTTCCCATTTTAGATCAGATTGAATAGGTCAATTTTTATAACCTTTTCAGCCCTAAGGATCGCATCCTAGAAGCCCCAATGAACACAAGATGTGCCAATTATTACATCTCTTTACTACCCATTGGGCCTCTGGTGTTAAACCCCATGGGTCTGAAAGAGTTAAAATATGTCCGCCTCAGAGAAGAACACCAAGAGTTCGGTGACCAGCAGTCTGAGAATGCACACCCTGGGACAGAGAAACCTGTGGATTAATTGCTGCCAATCTTTACTGTAGTTAAGGCATTGTAATTAGATCTCCTTCGCTTGCTGTTGAAGATGGGGTTGGAGTGCTTATTGGAGTGTCCCTAGTGCATCTATGTTGATTCCTTATTCAGCATTGAATACTGTAAAGTCAGGGCCTAATTGAGTGCTTTTTTTATTGTGAGTTAATGTTTACAGTATCAATTTCATTATTACTATTTTTTTTAAATATCATTGTTGACTGGATAATCATTTCTGCCCCCCCCCCCCCCCCCCCCATAATTCTAGATGTGGACTCCAGCATGTTATGAGACCAGAAAGGCAGTGCTGAAATCAAGTCTTTTTAATTTTTTTTTTAAACGGAATTCATGTTATGTTTATTTGACCATAATTGTCACAAACATAAAACATATGTCTAGTTTGTAAAAGTAGTGGAGGATGGTATTCCTTACTACAGATAGTCATATTTTGAATTTTTTTTTTCATTTCTTATAATTTGTGTTTTAATTCATCTTTTCCTAATTCTGAAACAATAATATAGGCCTAGAAAATAAGGTTATAAAGCTTTTTTTCTTCTTAAAACTTTTTTTTTTCAATGTCATTATGTTATGTGTTGTTTGTCATACAATACATTAAAATGCTGCAAATCATTTACATTGTGTTGCGTACAAACCCCAGCATTTGTCAGCTGTTTGTAGTTTTATTAGTGCGACTGTATCTTAGAGGTCAGTAAGATCATTTCACATGTGCATATATGCAAGCTAGCTTGGTTCTTTATTGATATCCTACCCCAGATGATGTCACAGGACAGTCCAACATTTTCGAGGGTGGTAAGACTGGGTTTCCCGGCTTTATGATGCTTTCATCGACCCTAAAACATCTAGAACTATCTCTAACCCGAAACAACCTACGTCCTACGAGAGAGTGCAGCCTAGGTCCTACGAATGCTTGCAGCCTTAATACCCATGACTGCATGCAGCCTATCTACCACCCCCAGAAATATTAGACTGTCCGGTGACCTATAGATTTCCCCCTGTTTGGGGTAGGATAATAATTAAGCACCCTAGCTTGGTTTGGGCATATGGTGATTAAATTCCTGCTATGGGTAGTCAATAGAAAAGCTGTTTTCACAACTTTCAGACAGTTGCATGTTGATTCGTACTGTGGCAGAGATTGGGACCTTACCAATTTATATTCTCATAGTAGCAGTAAATATGTTTCAGTCAACCTGGAAATGGCACATTTGGGAGAAGAGAGAGTTTTATTAGCCACTTTCTATGTTCAGTGATTTGCCTTTGCTTTCTGAACAGCTTGCACTCACACCTTTGTTTAAATCAGTGCATTACGGCCAATTACAAAATGACTCGGAGCTGACTTGAAGCCTGGTTGAAATTATTAAACTGCAGTCATAACCTACACAAAAGGTAGTCATTTCTAACAGTAGATTATGAAATTAGAAAAAATGCAACCCCAAAAAAAAAGTTTGCTTTGAATATAAAAATCTATCTCAAGCAAGAAATAAACCTAATCAACTTCCCAGTAAATCACAAAATAAAAGCTGCAGCAAAAAAGCTTTTGGCATTTAGCTACATGGACAGTGGCACAACTACATAAAAGACTATATTTAAAATAACTTTGCCAAATAGCAGTCAATTCCTTGTGGAAATATCCTGTAATAGTTTTTCTAGACAGGTTAAAGAGAAGAAATGGACTTGGTTAAAACTGGCAAGATTAGTGGGGAAAAAAATGGGGGGATGGGGAGGAATTTGACCAGATACAGCCCTGTGGAAACCAGCTTTTGTTATAAATTATAGTCTGGTTTTATTTGTACCATGTTCGATGACTTAAATGGATTATTGTGCTAATGGTTGTGGCTTAATACCCCTAACTGTGTGAGATATTGTCCATCCTTACACAAGGGTATTAAAGTAAAGGTACCTTTTCCACGCCTTTAGGTGTATTGCAAATAGGGCTAGACCTATATTTTTATAGACCAATCAGCACTTGGTGGGTGATGTCAGCATCACACCGGTCACCTTTACTTTCCAGCACTGCACCTGGTACCCATTCAATGCTAAGTCGACCTGGAAGTAAAGGTCATTTTTGGAAGGTGGGTGTCTAACAATGCCACAGCAACTCCTTCACACAAGAGTAACTTTTATGAACTTCCCCACATTTAGTGGTAAAAAACCCTACAAAAGTAAGGGATATGGATCCATCTCTTTAGTATATCTGGTATAGGAAGCTGGCCGCTACCTTATAGACCATTCAGCACTTGAAACGGTCATGTGGTCAGGACCAGACTGGTGGTCTTTACTTCCCATGAAATTTTCTTATTACGCGTTTCAAATTGACGTGGGAGCTACTTTGAGGCGTATTCGAACCTATCACAACAGCGCAGACAAGCAGTGTTGAATAGTTTCAAGGTATAATGTAATTACTTGACAGGGCTTTCATGCATTAACACTTGTTGCATCTTCCGGATACTTCAGTTTACTTGATTATTCCCCTTTGCATTTGGCTGATGAGATCTGACAGATAAATGCTTTTGGCTTTTCTGTTTAAGCAGTTTCCTAAACTACATTTAAAAAAATGAAAATGCATTTGTATATGTTGGTAGCAAAGCAGCAGAGTATGGACAGAGAGCAGCAAAAACAAAACACACACGCAACATATAGTCATTATAATCATATGTCACTGACATCATAAGAGCTAATAAACTAATGGTTTAGGGGAAAAGCAGCAAAATCTTCTTCTTCTTTCGTTCTCATTCAGCAGCAACATCTGATCCTTCCTGCGCCACACTTGTTTTCCTTATTGCACTTTTCTGTCTGTGGGTTCTTTTCCTTGCTTTGTATCCTCTTGTTTGTGTCTGCCTTTAACAGAGTTAAATTAGTTTTGCTGAGGTCTTCAGCCAGCCTGTGATATCTTTGTTGAGTATTCTATCAGGTTGTTGTTCATTTATCTCTGGATGCCCTCCAGCCACTTGTATCACTATTTACCCCTTGCTCCACTGTGTTTACCTTCCAGCATCGTGGGAATATGTGTTGTAGGTTTTTTGACATGTTATGAGGTGTCAGCATCTGTGGCTTAGGCATCGCAAGAGCACTTTGTAATGCCAGGTTTGATCCTGGCTGCAGACAAATTGTCATGCGTTGGTTTCTTAATAAATTTGACGATGGGTGTTGTTACAACAGTTCTTGTGATCATGTCGTTTCTCACTTGATATCTTTTGGTTTTATTCACAGCCATTCTCAAACATATTATCTCACAAGTGGTTGGTTTTCTTTTATGTTCTTTTGTTAATGTCCAAGTCTGACATTGGTAACCTTAGACCGGTATAGATATTATTTTTATGTCTTTGTGTTTCTTTTGGGATAGCGAGGTTTATTAAAATTAGAGCAAGTCGGTACGTAACATTGTTGGCTTGTGGAATTCTCGTTTCTCTCTATCATTGTGTGTAAAGATATATAGATATAATAAACAAACAGACAATGTATTAATTGGCACTCATAGAAAGATAGGACACACTAGACAGCATAAAAATCATAAGCTGGAGTCTTCTTTTTCGTCTTGTCTAGTGTGTCCTTCTATATTTCTATGAGTGCCGAATATACTTTCCATGTCTATTGGGATAGCTGTGCATTTCAAAATTGTGGTCAGTATAAATGAATACTTGAAAGTTTGATTAAGGCAAGAGGCCCTGCCTCCCGAGTAGACCCAGTCTAAAATGGGTACTAGGCAATATTTAGGAAGTAAGGAAGCTTGGCAGGCTTTTGACCTTATCGCCCACTGACTGGTGTATAGAAATATGACCCTAGCATCATATACCCAATACAGGACTGGCAAAACAAAATTATCTCCTACTTATTCTGTTTTTGTAAGTCACCACTGTGTAGCTGCTACATACTCACCTGTGGATAGGAACGTCGTGGGTTTGAGTCCTGGCGGAGCAGGCCTTTTTTGTTTTGTTTTTTATTTAAAAAAAAGGTCCTTTAGTGTCGACCCAGCCTTGAGTGGATACCAGGTACAGTAACTTCTCTGATTTTGACTTCAGGTTCACTTTATTATCCTCTCAGTTATTACGAGACAGAAGAGGCTTGGTAATTTGTTTCTCTCCGTTTACACCCACATTTAATATTATCCTCTCATTTTTGTCGCTAAATATGACAGTTTGTTATCATGTCATAAAACAGCAGCATTTCCAGGTGGCACCAGAACAATGAGGTCTCCGGCTAACGGTGCTCTGGTGTACCAGGCCTTTGATGGGATCCTGGTCTGGTTAAATACGTCCTTAAACTGGGACAGACATAGCAAGCAGGCAGCGGATTAAATCTTGCTGGAAGAAACAACCAACCGGGACAGAGTTTTTACTGAAATGCGACGGGCCTGGCAAGTCGTCAGTGGTGTAATTTACTGCTGCTACAGAAGAAACAATGGCTAATTATACAACAAACTCTTGCGAACTGTTTATTTGTGGCGGGCAACGTTAAAAGACAACGAGATAGAACAGCGTTTAGGGTGGCTACTTTGAACAGCAGCCGAATGGGGAGATAAAGAGACTGAACTGGTAGAATTTGTGATTAAAAACATAATACTTTTTACGTAGCCCGGCTCTCTAGCGTCGTTGGCTAAACCGGATTGCGCCGTGAGCGGGTGACGAACTCCTTGTGGTCCGGGGGTAAGCAGGAAAGCCACATTTCTCCCAGATTTACAGTATTTACATTGGAATCAAGGCCGAAAGGTTGCGATATCCATAATACCGAGCCTAAGGGTTAACAACTCATGGCTTCTGGATAATAAAACAAACAATACTTTTTACTGCCGAACCTCCAGGGGAAAGACCAAGAAAGAGATGAATAAATAGTCTAACTGAATCCTACAAAATAGTAAATAAATCCACCAGTCAAGCCAGCGGAGGAGCGCTAGAAAAATACAGAAAACCACGACACTTGGCTATAACCTGGTATCAATGAGACAACAAAACCACGACACTTGGTTATAACCTGGTATCAGTGAGACGACACTTAGCTACAACATTGTATAAGTGAGACGAAATAAGAAGGGAAAAAACCTGACGCTGAAAGACTAAAAAAGAAGCAACCTCACCACGAAAATAGATGTAAACACTATTGTGTCTAATCCACCAATTTTCTTGGTGCCTTGTTGAGAACACTTCAGCAATCAATAGTTTCCCACTAGTGATCAAAGTTCATAACCATTAGTTCGCCACGGGTATGTCACGCACTGCTAGGCAATTCATCATACACCCTGCATTGATTGTCGCCCAGGTTATTGACATTTCTTGAGTCTATAACCAATCTGCTCGTCATACGTTCAACTGGACAAAGTTGCACATTTCTATGTTGACAGAGGGACAGTCCTTATTTGGAGGAACAGGTCCAAATCAAGAGTGGGTATGGTTTTTAATCTAAAGCGTCTACAAGTGTGTAACTGTTCATTAATCATCATGTACGTTTGTAGCAGATCTTCTGCCGAACGTCGCTTTCTTCATGTTCTGTCTGAAAGAAACTCGGTCTCTTGCCAGCTCTTCCGTCTGGTGTACTTTCATGTCCAAGAAGTAACTTATATCCTGTGTCCATATTTGTGCTGGTCGACTCCTGCTCTCTGTCCTGTTACAGCGCCTTTTACTTTTATTCTTTCCAATCCGCTGTGGCACTTGAAATGGCTAAAATATTTCAGTTTCCAAGACAATATTTTTTTTTTTTTTTTTTTTAGCCAAACTTCCTTAATGTTCAGAACTTTCGGTACGTCAGTATTTAATTTCATTGTCCATTATATTCTGAGAATCTGTCTATAGCATTTTATCTCACAAGCCCCAATTTTCTTCCCTAAGTACAGGTTTAAAATAATATATGATTTATCTCTGACTGTCTCTCTCTCTCTCTCTCTCTCTCTCTCTCTCTCTCTCTCTCTCTCTCTCTCTCTCTATCTCTCTCTCTCTCTCTCTCTCTCTCTCTCTCTCTCTCTCTGCCAGTATGTATGTATGTATGTGGGTGTGTGTGTGTTTATGTGCATGCAACCATATACATTAGCCTCAATGACTTAGTTATTAGAGCTCTCGCCAGTGAACGGGTTCAATGTGTGTCTATCGCGACTGTCAGGTTGATCCAGCCTAATAAAAATTCTTGCTTAACAAGTATCAACATTTTGTGCAGATTGATTGGGAAAAAGATGTGACGGAAAAGGCAACTGGTCAGTCACCTCATTGTGTCGTGGTTTGGAATATAGAATATATAAACACTCCAATGGCAGCCATACATCTATCGATTCAATGATCTTTCTAATTATCCAAATATCTGTCCATTTATTTGTATATTTATTTATTTTACACTCTATCAACAAGTATGTAAGCAAGTAAAAGTAAAGGACCCTTTTTTACATATTAGGCATATAGGGCTAGACCCATATTTTATAGATCAATCGGTTCTGGGTGGGTGATGCGGTAAAAATCATGCCGGCTGCCTTTACCTCCAAATGGCACCCATTTAAGGCTGGGTCGACCTGGGGAATTGAAAATAGTCAGGACTCGAACTTGAGACCTTCGGATCCACATCACGGCGGCACCGCCAGCCAGTATGGCTACTTAATTATTAATCGACTTCTCTTCCCCCCCCCCTCACCCGGGAGGGGGAGGGGCTACACCTCAGTCCTTTGACAATGCTGATGTTAGGCAGGTCGTACTTGCAAGATCAGTACGGGACTCTTTGCTTGGGTTCCTAACAACGATAAAGAGCGTATAGGGTCGTCCCGAATGTCCTCATTAATTCATTCATCCTTTCACGCAGTCATTCATTCATACCCATTTCTTGTCATCGTTCTTTCTATTTTTTTGCTCTATCTGCTAACCTATCTGTCCCCACCGCACTGTTTTTTGTTTTTCAATTTTTTTGCCAACTGCTTTTGATAACCAAAGCGTACCTCGGTACCACGAATCTAACGACCACAAAATCAATAGCATCGACCTAATGTCCAGAACCTGTGCACGACGGCGCGACAGGCTCCGATGTCCCGCAGAAACAAGACTGGTTACAAATCCGTGAAGCGAAACCTCACTGCAAGAAAATTTACCTGTCGTTGACACTTTACCTAGACCAGTTGCAGGTACCGACCCAAGTCGTCAGTCCTGGAATACAATTGTCTGTACGTGGGTTTATCTTCTGTGTAAGTATTAGTTGGTCACGTTTGTGTTGTAATCTTATATTTCAGTAAATATACGTGTAGAGATGTGTGAGGATTTGACGGTTGATTTGTTATTGGGCAGGTGTGTGTCATGGGCGACGAAACCCGGGAGTTCAAACTCATTGAGATAATAAGTAATTGATGCTAAGGGGAGGACAGTTTTCCGCAACCATGTATGAACACCCCCCCCCCCCCCGAAAATTGCTCTTTCTAAATGTTTAGTTATACTTTCTAAATTATTATTTCAAATATGTTATATTTGTTTACTATTCATAAAGTATTTAATATTGTTGCGTACTTAAATATGGCTAAATTACTTAAGTTCACCTTCTTATAAAATTATAAGTCCCACTCCCACTATTAAGCCAAATTTCCTGACTCAGTGGTGGCGACTGGTGACCAGGATACTCTGGTTTTTGTGGAGAAAGGCTCCACCGACACGTCGTTTTTCTTCTTCTTCTTCTTCTTCTTCTTCTTCTTCTTCTTCTTCTTCTTCTTCTTCTTCTTCTTCTTCTTCTTCTTTCTCTTCTTCTGCATTCGACATCAGTCATGTTAAACATTGAATCCCGTCTGGGTCACAAATAGGATTGTGCGTTTAATGTCGCCACCGGTCCCCCATAGCTTCTCTTGCAATGTGGCTCGCTTGGGCCAGATCCACAGTCTTTGCTGGGAGAGGTTAGGGCAGTACTGTAGTATGTGCTAAGGGGTCTGTCTTTCTAATCCACAATCACAGGCAGCAGATTCTTTTTTGCCTAACAGGTGTGCTCGAAGACCACAGTGTCCTGTCCGAAGTCTAAAAATTGATGTTTGGTCTTTCCTGTTGAGTTTGTTTATGCTGTCGCGTGTGTGTGTGTGTGTGTGTGGGTGTGGGTGTGCGTGTGCGTTATCCCCCTTTTTTATGTGTCTTAAGCGATTTAGCCACAGTTCCGTGAATTAATTTCTTGGTATGGTGCGTTTCAAATCTCGGGCCCTGACACTCTGGCATATATCTAGAAAACTCCTATACGGATCAACATGAACTGTTGCATGTGGCCTTAGATTTTATAATTTACAATTGCACAGGTGATACTGTTTTGTCAAAGCGGCGATTTTTAAAAATCTTTTTTTATAATAAAGTTAGGGGACCATAACACGTTTACAAAGTAACCTCAGTTCGGTCTGGGTGGATCTTTTGTGTTGTACCGCTGAAGTAAGTATGGCCTATCTATAACAAGAGCGTACAACAGAAAAATGATAACACCAAGAGGCAGGGTGAGACCTAAAAGAGGATGGACTGAGGAAAACACTGACAGCCTAAGACATCACAACATTTCAGGCGACCCAGTGCGTCTTAGCTCAGCCACTTATCCTCAGATAAACTAAGAGGCCTAGAGGTAAATAAAAAAAAAATAATAATATGTAGACAACAGAAAAAAAGATTTATGTTTTGAAGATAAGATGTTGCTTGTGGACTAATTGTCTTAGATGATTATTAAAGAACATCCGAATTGCACTAATGTATTAGATATAGTACATTCAAATTGCACTAAAGCAGTGGAAATAGCACATTCAGACTGCACTAAAGCAGGAGTGACATTACATTCAGATTGCACTAAAGCAGGAGTGACATTACATTCAGATTGCACTAAAGCAGGAGTGACATTACATTCAGATTGCACTAAAGCAGTAGAGATATTACATTCAGACTGCACTCAAGCAGTGAAGACAGTACGTTCAGACTGCACTCAAGCAGTAGAGATATTACATTCAGACTTCACTCAAGCAGTGAAGACAGTACATTCAGACTGCACTCAAGCAGTAGAAGTAGTACATTCAGACTACACTGAAGCAGGAGAGATATTACATTCAGACTGCACTGAAGCAGGAGAGATGTTACATTCAGACTACACTGAAGCAGGAGAGATATTACATTCAGACCACACTAAAGCAGTAGAAGTAGTACATTCAGACTACACTGAAGCAGGAGAGATATTACATTCAGACTACACTGAAGCAGGAGAGATATTACATTCAGACTACACTGAAGCAGGAGAGATATTACATTCAGACTACACTGAAGCAGGAGAGATATTACATTCAGATTGCACTAAAGCAGTAGAGATTTAAGAGTCTAGAAAACATATCTCACAAGTAGTAATTGTTACCTTTCGGGCGTACTGGCTAAAGTGACCCACAGCTGTTATGGGGAAATAATACATTGGGAGGCCAATTCTCTTTCACGGTACAAGGCTGGCACTACTGCCTGGAAACCACGAGATCTACACTCCTTCAGTGGCCCAAGTATTTCCACTAACTTCAATCACTCATATCATGTATTTTAATGTAAAATTCACCTGGTAAATCGGACACTAATACATCATTCAGTCACGAAGAACTTACTTGACACATTTTTTTACATAGAATATTCTCCAGCCTGCAAAATGAACATTTCAAATACTGAGTACCAAACTCAACACGAATTCTACTCGCTGGTGAAACTTGTAAAATGTGTAATAACTGAACTGATGATGCCAGATATATGCTTTCAAATCTGCTGTGTTTAATTTAGTATTTTTAGTATTTAGTAATTTAGTACAGAAAGCTCTAAAAGCACAAAAACCAGGGAATGCAGGCACCTTGAGGCCCTCTCTCTCTCTCTCTCTCTCTCTCTCTCTCTCTCTCTCTCTCTCTCTCTCTCTCTCTCTCTCTCTCTCTCTCTTCCCCATAACACTCTAGAAAAGCATTGAGGGATGTAAGGGGAAGGAGCCAATCTCCCCCCCCCCCCCGAAACATTTTGCTAGGAGGGTAAGTGGTTCCCTAAATTACGTATAGATGCTCTCTTCTTGAGTATTTATGTCATATTATTCTAAGTATGTTATTGTATTCATGTTCTAATATAACACTTATAATAATAAAAATAATTGGCACATAAATAAATCAGGACTCTTGAACCCCCCCCCCCCCCCCCCCCGCCCCCAACCTCAACAATTTTGCCCCATCCAACTGTTTTCTTTGCGTAGCCACCTAAATTCTAAAGAGCAATTAAGTGGACACCCTGATCCTAGTGTTTCTCAAACACCTGGTCTTATATTAAATTTTTCTTTCCACAAAATGCACAAGGGCTTATTTTCGGGGGAGTCATTTATGTATAAACAGTTTTTTTTTTTTTTTAATTCACTTTATTTATGTACAAAATTCTACATTTATTCCTATACAGTCGCGTCGTCTTCTTCTGGAACATTCTCATAACTCTCGAAATCCTGAATTTCTCGCGACTCAGTTTCCGGTAGAGCCAACTTTTGTGTCCAGATTTGTGTTGGGTTCTAATCACTTTAGGCCGTGAGTGCAGGGACTGGTCAGCTGGCAGTACAGAATCATAAGTTCAACAAATGATTCATGACAATTTCCTCCCAAGTGATGTGATTATCTATACAGGTGGCTCTGTGTTGAGGGGCAGAGATGTGATTATCTCTACAGGTGGCTCTGTGTTGAGGGGCAGAGATGTGATTATCTATAAAGGGTGGCACTGTGTTGAGGGACATAGATGTGATTATCTATACAGGTGGCTCTGTGTTGAGGGACAGAGATGTGATTATCTATGCATGTGGCTCTGTGTTGAGGGGCAGAGATGTGATTATCTATACAGGTGGCTCTGTGTTGAGGGGCAGAGATGTGATTATCTATACAGGTGGCTAGCCCGGCTCTCTAGCGAAGTTGGTTAAACCTGACTTTCGCGGCGGCCGGGTGACGAACTCCTTGTGGTCCGGGTTCACTCCCGGGGGTAGGCAGAAAAGATACATTTCTCCCAGATTAACGGTACCTATAATGGAATCACTGCCGAAGGGTTGCGATATCCATAGTACCGAGCCAAAAGGTTTACAACTCATTGTTTCCGGATACGTTAAAAAAAAATACAGGTGGCTCTGTGTTGAGGGACAGAGATGTGATTATCTATACAGGTGGCTCTGTGTTGAGGGACAGAGATGTGATTATCTATACAGGTGGCTCTGTGTTGAGGGACAGAGATGTGATTATCTATACAGGTGGCTCTGTGTTGAGGGGCAGAGATGTGATTATCTATACAGGTGGCTCTGTGTTGAGGGACAGAGATGTGATTATCTATACAGGTGGCTCTGTGTTGAGGGACAGAGATGTGATTATCTATACAGGTGGCTCTGTGTTGAGGGGCAGAGATGTGATTATCTATACAGGTGGCTCTGTGTTGAGGGGCAGAGATGTGATTATCGATACAGGTGGCTCTGTGTTGAGGTGCAGACGAAGTGCATGGGGGTTCATGGCAAAGGCTAATGGACGTCGCTTGGTGCAACAAAGCCTGGCATATGATAGCACGTCTAGTTTGAGAAGAGGTGGAGGCAGTCACTGCTGCCTTCCGCTGGCTTGACAATCAGCTGTACACACATGTCGTCATTGTAACTGACTCGTAGAGCATGTTGGGAGAGTTGGAGACAGGCATGCCCCGTGCAGAGTGGCAAGCATCATTTTAGAGGTCCCGGGTAGGTAGAGTCCTTTGGATATTGTCTCCAAGTAATGCCGGTGTGTGATATTGAACAGGCAGATAGACGGGCTGGCTCTGCATCATTTGGTAGTGAATTGATGTATGACAAGCTATGTGTTGTTAGGGCGCTTTAAAAGCGAGTAAACAGCACGGAGGCACAAATATATTATTACTGTCTGAGAAGAATGACACTGTGAAGAGTTACCAGGAGATCTAGCCGACGCTTTACAACTAAAGGGAAAGGCGAATCCGATATAAGGTCAAGCAGTTACTGATGCCTTCGGAATTAGGACTCTCCGCTTGCTGCTGGAGAATGAGACGGTGCGCTTATGGATGCCCCGAGTGCTGCGATGTCGATTCCTAATTCAACATTCATGTCCAGCATTTAAGCTTTTCTTAAATAAGAATTTCTTGTCTTTGTAGAGCGTAACTGGAGCTGTATTTTGGGGTATGGTGTATGTATCGAAGCTCTCTTCTGTATATATTTACCTCAAACCCAGTTTTGTCTGTTTGCTTCATGGGGAAGTCCATTCGGGGGGGGGGGGGGGTGTTAAATTCTATTATAGGAATGGTAACGGGCCGCAACAATCGTCGACGAGGGATCTTTCTACTGATAATTGGTGGTCCCCTGCTGTACATGCTTTCCGGTGGAGATCCTATTATTATTACTGACACTCTGTGCCCCATATTTGTTATTTGTTTATTTTGCAGATTTGCAAGCCACCACAAGCACGTTTTATCATGTCGGTGATCCTGACGGCCTGTCGTAACTCCAAACAAAAAGCAATCGAAAAGGCGGGAAAGAAGAAGGCTGCCAAAAAGTACAGAAGTGTTTCATATTGTGCTTCCTGTCTGTTTTCGTTGTAAAATGTGTGGGTTTTCTGTTCTTTGGGTGTCCTGCTAGACGGTGTGTTGACCCGCCTCACAACCAATGCTTTCGCATTATCATCCTCATCATCATCATCAACAACACCACCAGGTGAGCTGGGACCAGGGGATGGAGCCACTGAAGTTCCCCTACCGGAAAATATGTTTATAGAGTGAGCACATCCCTCCCCCCGCCCCCCTTTTTCAATATTTATGCATGAAAGGCTAAGCAGCTTCCTTAAAACATGCACTTCGCTTTAACGGTACAGTATCTGCTTAAACGCTTTGAATTATCTCAGCAAAGTTGTACTACTATTATTATTCTGCTCTTAAACCAGGATGATACTTCCCTTGAGCTACCGCTCCTAACTTTTTTCCCCCTAGAAAATATGTTTTGCGGTGGGAAGGAGTTGTTTCCTTGTTATAAATGCAATTCAGAGGTTTCTGTTGAAAGTGAAAGATAGAAAAAGAGCCGCTTGGTATTCTGTCTATTTTTAGGTTGGGGAGTCGCCGCTGTGGCGTAGCGACTAGACACTCGCGTGCGGATCGGAAGGTGGTGTACACAGGCGTCTGCGGCGCCTTATAGAGACTCATTTCAACACAACCTCCCACAAAAATTGATGACAGCGAGCGAACCCCGAACAAAGACATTTCATAACACCTCACAACATAGGATAGACCGTGCGACCGGGTTCGGCATGAATGCGAGGGGAAAGAATTCTGGTCATGAGGGCAGGTTCTTGAAAAGTTCCATTATTTTTTTTAAGCTGGTTGCATGTCCTTCACTGACAGCACTGCGGAGATCAACCTACGCATCTGTTGTTGCATTTAGTAGTTTGCCACTACCTACCAAGCAGCCAACGCCCGTACTATTGTCGAAGTCAGCGCAAAGTGGTCTGCTGCCAAATCGCCTGCAGCTGCATTAAACGTGGTGTGTCGGAATTGTACACCCTAAACACTTGCTGCTTTCTTCGGCAAATTATTATTACGTGCTAAAGCCCACATCAGTTCCACTGTGATTTATTTATCACTGCCTGAAAGCCAAAAGATCCGTATTATTATTATAATTACTGCTGTTGCTGCTGCTACTACTACTACTACTACTACTACTACTACTACTACTACTACTACTACTACTACTACTACTACTACTACTACTACTACTACTACTACTACTACTACTACTACTACTACTACTGCTGCTGCTGCTGCTGCTGCTCCTGCTACTACTACTACTACTACTACTACTACTACTACTACTACTACTGCTGCTGCTCCTGCTACTACTACTACTACTACTACTACTACTACTACTGCTACTACTACTACTACTACTACTACTACTGCTGCTGCTGCTGCTGCTGCTGCTGCTACTACTACTACTACTACTACTACTACTACTACTACTACTACTGCTGCTGCTGCTGCTGCTACTACTACTACTACTACTACTACTATTACTACTGCTGCTGCTGCTCCTGCTACTACTACCACTACTACTACTACTACTACTACTACTACTACTACTACTACTACTACTACTACTACTACTACTACTACTACTACTACTACTACTACTACTACTACTACTATTACTGCTGCTGCTGCTGCTACTACTACTACTACTACTTTATTATTATCATTCCTATTAATATTATTCTTATTATTAATGCTCTTTGATTTTTACTTAGTTGCCCCCCCCCCCCCCCCCCCGTCTTTTTTTTCGTCAATCTTTATTTTCTTTTTCGGCTCACCTGACCTGCACAGATAACATTGTTAAGATTATTCTAGGCAGTTCTAATATTGGAAACTTGGTACATGCAAGTGCACGCGGCAAACATCGGCTTGTATCTCCCAGGTCGGCACAACAACATCCGCCCGCTGGCTACCCGAGCCTGTGCTCTTACTTTCCCCGATATTGCTAGGGATCGAAAGCGGGTAGTGGAAGGAAGTGACGTCAAGTCCATTATGTGTGGAACTTAAGTTGGCAGCAGATCAGTTAGATTGATCGGGAATCGATATCGCCACCGGGCTATGGATGAATTAAGCTGTCGTAAAGTATTTTAAATATGTTTAAAACAAAACATCGAGAAAAAGGAGGGGGGAGGTGGGGGGCAGGAATAACAACATATAGCAGACAACAAAATGGATAGATATAAAGGCGTCCCAAAATGTTACCTTGGGGTGGGGGGTGGGGGAACAGGCCAACTGTCCCACTTCATAAACATCAAGGAAAAGGTACTTCTTCTTCTTCTTCTTCTTCTTCTTCTTCTTCTTCTTCTTCTTCTTCTTCTTCTTCTTCTTCTTCTTCTTCTTCGCGTTCACCAGCTGTAAACTGGCGGAAAGTTCTGGTTGTTCGTCCACTTCTAGACTGCAGTCCTGTTCCAGAACCTGAGTTTTGCGTGTGCATCTGTTTTACAGATCTGATTCATCTGTATGCAGATTTCTGGTTTCTTGCCTTTCAGGCACATGCACACTGACTTTGAAGTTTTCTTGTTTGTCCATATAATAGGACCCCGGAACCCAGAAAAAGTACTCAAAATATAATAGTTCGTTAATGATTAACAAAAATATTAAATAAATTCTTTTACAAAAAATTTTTAAAAAAATTGGGGGGTGGGGGGTGGGATAAAGAGAATTGATTGGGATGTTCTGTTTTGAGCTCCAAATATTAAGGTCACCCTAAAAGAACTTAGAGAAAAAAAACTGTAGGAAAAAAAAAGAAAATACTGCTTGTATTTACCACTTTAGTGGTTGTAGGGCGGGGTCTCCGAACCTGAGGATTTAGGGCCGCATGGCTGAAGCTCTTACTGCCGAATGTGAAGGTTAGTCTTCACTTTTGGCCACCTACAGAAAAAGATAAAAAAAAATCGCCAACCTTACCAAGGACCGGGTCTCCTACATCATTTGACCAGTCGTTCCTCTGAGAATAAGAATAACGAGTCCATACCGTGTGTGTGGCGTTGGCAGTCACGTCCATCCACAACCTTCTGTCTCGTGTACTTTCAATCAATTCTGACACAGATGAACCTCAACGCTAGGGTATAACAGGCATACAAGTTACAAACTAATGTGGTGTTACGAGGATGTAAGTAAACTAAAGTTGAACACCTTTATGAAACTCGTGGAGCATCGGATATATTTATATGCTGGATTTTAAATTTATAATTTATAAACCAGTCGGCACTACGAAAGTCGGAGCCACTGTAGTGTAGCGGCAAGATTCTCACCTGCTGGTCCGGAGGTCCTAGGTTTGAATCCAGATCGGTGCAGATTGTGGTGTGTGTGTGTGTGTGTGTGTGTGTGTGTGTGTGTGTGTGTGTGTGTGTGTGTGTGTGTGTGTAAAATTGACCTGGCCCTCAGTTCGACCAGTCTAGAAGAGGTACGAGATTAAGTTCTGGGAAGTAAAGACGGCTAGCGTGATGTCGATGACACATCACCTACCGAGTGCTCATTGGTCTATGTTCAGGACCACTAGAAAGGGAAAAAATCTGTCTATGTTTTGGAAGCAAGACGAATGATGTGATACTGACAACAACGCTCATCGATTGCTAGTGGATTCAGTTTATTAAAATGCCTCTCCAAAATCCTGCTCTTGTATCGTCAGCACCAGTCGTGTCAACATCATTCCGTTGTGCGTGCTCTGTTCTTTACACAGGGCTCGCAGTAAAGTTCTCAATTACCTCATGGTTGGAATCCACTCTTCTTCTTCTTCTTCTTCTTTCGTTCGCCATTTATACATATTTCCATGGCGTGTGTGCGTGGCATCCTGATTGCTGTGGTGCGCCTCCTGGCTTGTTGCCTCCGACTTCAGCACCTTGTTTTGCAAGGGTAGACTGTGGTCATACTCGAGGAGAATAGGCTCATCCCTTCGTATTTACCTCGTTTGTTGTCCCATCCAGTTTCCCGCTGGGGGTTGAAACCCCAACCTTCAACTGGATTGCTGGGAACAACAGGGTCCACCACGTGAAAGTGAGGTAGGCTTGAGCAAGAGAGGCTAATAGACATTAGGAGTCTTATATTGCGCATCATTGCTCCATTTGGACCCCGGAATCCACTCTAACAATTATGAGTTCTCTCAATAAGGTCCGGCTAGTGATTTCTCTTGGACGTTCTCAATCCCCGTGGTCCCCATTTCAGTGAGTCTCAACCCTCACTAGGTGCTAGAGTACCGGTCCAAGCTACTAGTTTTGGTGCAGTTAACATTTATTAGCCAAAATAATTGGCACACACAAAAACAAAACAAAAAAACTAGACCACAGTTATAACAGATACTGCTCGCAGTAAGTTGAACGTGGTCGATTTTTTGTTTTGTTTGCTCATAAACGAATGTATGGAAGTACATCCCTCACTAGGCACTAAAGTACTGGTTCAAGCCATTTGTTGTTGTGCAGTTAGCGTTTTTAGCCTACATAATTAGCACACAGAAACCAGACCGTAATTATAGCCGATACTGCTCTCAGTAGCTTTAACATGGTCTGTTTTTGTGTATTTTTTATGGATGGAAGTGCCAGTTCAGGGATCCTTGTCCATTTCTTTCCCGGATATTCCCAATATATTTCAGTCTTCTTTGACTTTGAATTGATTACACCCACTGCTCTTACAAGCTGTTATTTATCAGACAGTTCTGCACATCATTCAACAATCATTTCCTCTGTCAATCCTGTGTGTATGAATCACATCAAATCGCAAACAGCGCAGAAATTATTTCCTTTACCCTTTTAAAAATTATAATATTATATTCAATATCAGGCGAATGTTGCGAACATCTCCCCAGAGTTAGCCCCGCCCATTTACACACCAGGTCACTTTCATTCATACTTTGCTCGGCTGGTCAACTTTGCTGAAGGTTACAGGTGTGTCCCGCTCTTCTGTTTGGTTTCTGCGTTGTCTTCCATTTACGTTTTCATTCCGAGAAAGAGAATGCCTGTGACATAGGTTTCATCACTCTCGTATAGACAGGAATGGGTGGGGTGGGGGGGGGGGTTGTGTTAGGGCCAGTGCTGCATGTTTTTGGAGCGATAAAAAAGCTGACATGCTGAAATATACAACAGGCAATATCAACGGTATTACAGAACACCCCCATAACCTTACGGAAAGTTGACCAGGCTCAGCCACTATCAATCAAAAGTGACCTGGTGTGTAAATAGGCGGGGCTAACTCTGTGTGGGGAGATTTTCGTACTGTTTACCACTGATACCTGTAAGCCAATGGTTTTCAGCCTTTCTAATACCGTGACCCATTAATGCAGTTCTCTCATGATATGGCGACCCACAAACAATTATTTTCCTTCATAACTTCAATGAACATGTGTTTTCCGATGGTCTGAGGCGACCAGTGCGAAATAGTCGTTTGACTCCCCCAAAAAGGGTCTCGACCGGTAGTTTGAGAACCGCTGCTCTAAGTGTTGCGAGGGTAAACATTTCGCAGTCCAGCACTCGATAGGTGGCGCTTGCTGCTATACTGTTTGAGCGCTGATAGTACAAACTTTCTATTTGATTTGTATATTAGTTTGTAAGTATATCTCAAATAATTTGTTTGTGTTCACCGGCTGTAAACTCCCGGGGAAAGTCTTGACGGTATATTTATATTTCTGGACTATGGCTTTGTTTTCAGGACTTGAGTTTTGCGGCGCATCAGTTTTGCAGATCTGTCTATTTGACTGCAGTCCTTTGGTTCCTTGCTATTCATGCATTTGCACTCTTGCTTTAAAGGACCAATACATTTATCGTCTGGGTGAAAACAAATGAAAGAATTAGGCATGTATTGAATGAGAAAAAATATAATGAATTGAAAATAAAACAATGAATATGCACGCATTAGAAAATAAAGACCATATTGTCCCTAAATGTCAACAGCGACCCCAAAACAATTATTAAACAAATAAACACTAACAACTGCACTAACAGTGAGCTCATTGGCGTATTTGTTTGTTTAAAAATCAATGTACGTTGTTCGTGTCCTTGTCTGAATGTGGTAGACAGGGTTAGCGCCATAACCGTGCATCGTAAACAGCCAAGGTTGAAGACTTCTCAGCTGTGCAATAACATAGTATATTGTGCTACATGAGACAAGTTGTTCAGAAATTAAATCAAAATTAACCAATGGGTCATTCAACGCAGGACTCAGTCAACCTATAACCTAGTCTACTCACTGTTCCATCAACGAATAAGTTAATTCAACCTTTACTCAGTTGACCGACAACTCAATCAGTTCATGGCTCTATCAAAATATAACTGGATTTGAACACAGCTCCTTAAACCCATAACACCATCAACCTATGAGTCAGTCAACTCAACATATTTCCATAGCGTAGATACCGTCCGATTGTGGAGTGCCTGGAAATGAGAAAGCTGATCAACTGGCAGGGGAATGTGCGACAAAAGTGCAGCCGGATGTACCAGTCACATACCGCCAAAAGAAAAGAATCATTAAATCGATCAGGAAATCACCAGCCCCAGCACAAGACGACTAGTTTATTATGGGCTGATCAGAACAAGTCATTATCCTCCGCTTCAGAACAGGGCACAACCGATTACGTAACCACATGTACACAAAATTCAAGATAGGTGTATCAGCTATGTGCACCTGTGGAAAGGTGCCCCAGACAGCAGAGCATGTACTCCGGGATTGCACCGAATTTGACACATTAAGGCAAACCTTTGGGCCGGAAAGAACAACAGTGGAACATAAACTCTATGGACCACTGAATGAACTAACAACGACAGAGAAATTTATACAAGAGACAAAACTGCTGATATAGACAACTTATATCAGGCGAACGAAAGAAGAAGAAGAAATCAACTTAACACTCATATTTCAATCATAAAAGAGCTCAGTAATCTCATAACACAATAAACCCATTACTCAGTTTACCGATAAATCAGCATGCTGATAATTCAATAGATTGATAACCCTTCTTTGATCTTTTTCCATAGAAATTCTTCAAAATGTGTCACTTAGTCCAGTTATATTTTCTCTCCTCATATTTCGGCAAAAATGATAAGCTGCTTTGTGAAGTTCGTCTACTGGTTTTTACTTCTTTAACATTTAGATCCATGTCCTTAAACCTTTTTATGCCCGCTGACTGGAAGAAATGTGAGAAATATTTTGATGACTATGACATAATAAAACGAATTTAGATATCAGATCATTTGGGGGGTTATTTTTTTTTTTTTTTTAATTACGATTGTTTAGCTAAGACAAGACCTGCCGTTTATATGTTAACGAGTTTGATTAATATAACTGAAGCGTTGTGTGTGGAAGGCGGGACGCCACAGCAGTTTCCATCCGATTTCTACGTTTGGTTTCAACTGTAGCAGCTACAAGCTTTGAGGGACATTTTAACGGACCACCGAAAAGAAATTTTCGCACAGGCTGGACACCAGCCATAATATAGAACTAGATGACCATTTTGGCTGTCCATTGAACTTTAAATATTCTTCGGTAAAACCCCATCTACGAGGCCTTGGGGAATTTTCTGGATTGTTTATTTATTGTCTACGATTTACAGCCATACTTTAACACTGATTTAATGTAGCATACAGTCATTTTTTCGGTGCTTTATTATTATCCTAACCCAAACAGGGAAAATCCACAGATCACGGGACAATCTAATATGTCAGGGGGTGGTAGATAGGCTGCATGCAGTCGTGGGAACTATGCTGCATGCAGTCGTGGGAACTAGGCTGCTCCTTCTAGTGGGACGAAGGTGGGTTGGAGTTAGGGTCAGTTCTAGATGTTCTGGGGTCGTTAAAAGCATCAGAAAGACGGAAAACCCAGTCCTACCTCCCTCTAAAGTGTTGGACTTCCTGTGGCATCATCTTGGGGTAGGATAATAATAAAGAACACTTGTTTCTTTCCTAGGTGTGTGTTTTTAGGAAAGGACGGGTGGAAAATGAGGGGTTGGGGGTGAGTGAAGAGGGGTAGGGGTTGAGGAAGGAGTAGCAAAGTCCAGATAGCCACTAATATCTTTTACAGCTTACGTCATGTCATTGTGTCACGACGTCCAGAGAGCCAATAATATTCGCACCTGTAACTGGTAATGTTTCTCGTGTTGTATACTCTACAGGAGAGAGAAGAGAGAAGCCGCCATGACAGCACTGACGGAGAAGTTGGCAGTTAGCGACCTTGAAGGGGAAAACAATGTGAAAATCTGGACTTTCCTGCTCAACGGCGAACCAACCAGTGTCGTGCTACGTAAGTTAGGTTTCAATGTTGTTGTCGCAAACTACCGCACAACGCTAGGTTTAGGTTTAGGTTTTGGTTTAGGTTTAGACGACAGATCGACATCATGGCACACGGGTAGCGACCCGTAAGTGCTCCGTTCTACTTCTGACACAAGCCCGAGTCCGAAAATTATCAGTGCAGTGCATGAACCCTGAAGCAGCAGCAAGGTTCCTGAAATACTTTGGATGGGTGTTTTTACTACAAGCGCCGTTAGATTTCCAACTGCCAAGGAATTTTTACGTGCGCAACAATACACACAGACGTCTAATCTTACTACCCAGAGACCAAGGGAAATTACTAGAGGTCTCAGGCTTCAGCGTGGTATAAACCCAGGTCCTCCAGCACTAGAGTCTGATGTCATGCCTCTCAATCCCCACACAACACTAGGAAATCAACAAGAATGAGAAGCAGAACTAGTCTACCCCCCCCCCCCCCCCACCCCATTTTTTTTTTTTTTTTTTTTTTTTTTTTTTTGCCCTTTCGTTGCCGCTAGAGAGCCTTTATCGTCATATAGCAACACGAACAATGATAAAACCGTATTAGAATAAGAACTATATAAAATAAAGTAGTTGTAACAAGTTCGCTTCAAATTGAAATACCTATTCACGGTTGAAAATACACACAAGAAAAGGATAAGTGATAGGTGAGAGGTGAGAGGTCGAAAAAGAAACGTTCAGGGAAAGTTACGTAAAAAAGAAAACATTAGAAGAAACTGTATTTTTATATAAGCCCGGCAGAGATAAAGAGTCCAACTGCAAGATAAGACACTTTTTCCATATTTCTGTGAACTTTATGTCCTTTGTGTGACACTAGATGATGTAACTGGAATCACAGTAAATCATAATTATTATAATCACTGTTATCATTCATCGCCATAATTTTATTTAACCAATATAATTTAAGGAGATGTGGTTATGGCCACAATCGGAAGGAGACGGTCTACATTATTTAATTATATAATGATAAGGAGAATATTGGAGTACATCGTGACGTGGCATTCGTAAATAAAAAGGCGGTTGGGAAGCTGTGTCGTTGACACCTAGGCTGCGAGTGTCTCTGCACCTTTCGTCCCAAGAAGTTCGATTTCAACAAACCCCTAGTTTTCCATCATCAGCCTCTATTGGAGAATCTGAGACTTCATAATGCAGGCAGTATTTCCGAGGACAACAGTAGATGCCTTTTAGCCAACCTCAACTGTGGAGACGAACAACAAATGTAGCGACATAAATCACACACAGAAAAATCGAAGCTTTTGAATTTCTTCTTCTTCTGCTGCTTCTTCGTGTTAACCCTCTGTAAACTCGCTCGGAAAGTCCTGGTTGTTTATCCACTGTTGGACTGCAGTTCTGTTCCAGAATCTGAGTGTTGCGTGTGCATCCATTTTACAGATCTGACTCATGTGTATGCAGATTGCTGGTTCCTTGCCTCTCAGTCAGATGCACTCCGACTTTGAAGGAAGCTCCCCAGTTAGTCGACTCTTACAACATGCTTTTGGGGTAGGCAGTGGGTCTATTCTTGTTTTTTCTATTACAGGGCCCCGGAACCCACACGGGGAGCTTTTGAATTTAAATGGTACACAAACACTCATAGAAGACGAAAACCACGAGTCTAAATGATCTCAGAACCGAGGGCAATTGGCTCATAAACAGCCCTCTGTCCCGAAAGCTGAAATATTTTAAACACTATGGTGGCCTGGAGAGAACTGTAATAGAGGGATGGTTGTCGGGAAACGAGGCTGATGCTGTTCTCCGCGAATGTAGATACAAGACATTTTTTTTTTTTTACGCATCCAGAAACCATGAGTTGTAAAACCCTTTGGCTCGGTACTATGGATATCGCAACCCTTCGGCCTTGATTCCATTATAGGTACCGTTAATCTGGGAGAAATGTGGCTTTTCTGCCTACCCCCGGGTTAAAGATGTAGCACTTGCTATGAAAGCACATAGGGCTGGAGAACTGGCTAGAAAAATGAAGACTTTCAAGAGATAATTCAGAAGTTTGGGCTCACAATGAACGATCTGTTATCAGTTTTAAGTACATCACTTTTATTTTTAATAATAAAATATATTTATTTATTTAAATAAAGGTAGAACAAATGCACCTAGTGACCGATGATAAAGTTCAAATTCATTGTAACCACAGTTCATTTTCAACAGTGATGTTTCAACTACTGTTAACAGTATGAATGATAAAGCACGGAACAATTCAAAGAGTTTTATTGATTTTACACAAGAATCAAAAGCACACGTAAGCAAGTCCTGTATACCAGCGTTTCTCAAACTGTTTTCGCCGCCACACCCTTGTAGGAAAAAAAAATCATTTCCGGCACATCTACACTGAAAGTGATTTGAATCCTTAGGGTAAAAAATAAAATGCTAATTTAATGTTCAGTTTTCTTCAATGTGACAAATGAAACTGTTTGGATAAATGTTTTTATTATTTCCTTTATGTTTATGGGAAGTTTTGTTAACTGTACCTTCAAATTATTTAACTCTTTGAGTCCCAAGGAACGCATCATACGTTCATAAGTTCCTACGTAGAGGCCCAATGAGCGCAGGATGCGCCGATTTTACGTCTTTCTTGACTACCCCTTGGGCCTCTCATGCTAAACCCCCTGGGACTCAAAGAGTTGAAGGCTGCTCCTGTGTCTTTTTATGTACTGCAGCCTTGCTAATAGCATTGTTTCTGAATACGCCTGCATCCAGATCTGTTCTTGGCTTCCTTCATGGTATTTCTGTTTTAAACTGCTGTCTTCGATGATCTCAAGCAAATTTTGAAAAATTCTTGCTTATTGCCGCAGCACCAGTGGCCTGCGCTCTCAGCGCCCTTGGATACCGCGACACCCCTGGCATACGCTCGCAGCGTCCCTGGATACCGCGGCACCCCTGGATAACGCTCGCAGCGTCCCTGGATGCCGTAACACCCAGTTTGAGAACCGTTGCTGTTTGTTTATATTTAAGGTTTGTGAGGTTGTCGTTTTTGGCCCAGATGGTGGGTTTCTCGGTTCAGCTTAGTGTTGGTACAGAAATGTTTTTGCTCCTGCTTGATTCAATATTTTGCGTAAGGAAAGTAAAAAACTCTTTTCTTCCCCGCCTTAAGGCATTGTGGGCATTCAGGACTAGACCTATATTTGAAATGCCAGTCGGACTGGATGGGTGATATAGTCCGGCCACCGTACTTCCCATGATTGTACTTGGTACCCGTTTAAGGCTGGGTCAACCTGGGAACCAAAGTCATTTTTTTTAAAGAGCAACAAAACTGGCTTCGTGAGGATGAGAGCCCACGACCTTCTGATCCACAGGCGAGCGCCTGACCCAGTGGTTCTCAGCCTTTCTAATGCCGGAACGCTTTAATACAGTTACTCGTCTTGTGGCAACTTCCCAGCCATACAATTATTTTCGTTGCTACTTTATAACTTCAATGAATATGTGTTTTCCGATGGTCTTAGGCGACCCTTGTGAAAGGCTCTTTCGACCCCCGAAAGGGTCGCGATCCACAGGTTTTGAACCGCTTGTCCTAGCCCCTACTCTACGGCGGCCCGCGGTCAATATGTTAAGGGGAGAGTTCCGTTACTATCTCTTTACTCTATGCTGTGTAGCGTTGATAGTCTCAGACTCATTTTTCCTTTTCCTAAACCCCATGCTGTGTGGCGTTGATAGTCTCAGACTCCTTTTTCCTTTTCCTAAACTCCATGCTGTGTGGCGTTGATAGTCTCAGACTCCTTTTTCCTAAACTCCATACTGTGTGGCGTTGATAGTCTCAGACTCATATTTCCTAGACTCCATGCTGTGTGGCGTTGATAGTCTCAGACTCCTTTTTCCTAAACTCCATACTGTGTGGCGTTGATAGTCTCAAACTCCTTTTTCCTAAACTCCATACTGTGTGGCGTTGATAGTCTCAAACTCCTATTTCCTAAACTCCATGCTGTGTGGCGTTAATAGTCTCAGACTCCGATTTCCTAAACTCCATACTGTATGGCGTTGATAGTGTCAGACTCCTTTTTCCTAAACTCCATACTGTGTGGCGTTGATAGTCTCAGACTCCTATTTCCTAAACACCATACTGTGTGGCGTTGATAGTCATGGCAGTCCACAGCCCTCTGTCTCGTGTACTTCCTCCAAATGTCCCACTGCCAATGTGTACTCCTGTCACCCCACCCTCCTTTTTTTTTCTCTTAGATTGCTCTCTTGTAGTACTAGTGATGTTTTTTTTTTTTTTTTGTTTTTTTTTTTTTTTTCATAGAATACTTTTAAGGGACATTTTTACTCATTATGTTCATATCATTTTCTCTCTTTGTGTATGTGTGTGTCTGTGTTGTGTGTGTGTTGTGTGTGTGTATGTGTGTATGTATGTGGTCCATACGGTGTGGAGTTGGTGGTCATGTCTATCCACTACTTTCTGTCTCGACCATCTGACACAAGTGATCTTCAAAGCCATGATATCAAACTGTCCAGCCTCTTCTCTTTCTGTCTCCTTCTGCCTCTTTTGCACTCCAGTTTTCCCACTATCATAATGTACGCCGGTAGTTTGCTTCTCATAATCTGACCAAATAATGTAGATTGTCCCCTTCTGATGTGGGCAATCAGTTGACCTCGTCAGTCAGTTTCTTTCAAGAATTCGTCATTCTTGTATTTGTCCAGGGTATTACCATCCTTCATCTATAAAACCAAATCTCCACCGCCTCCAAAAACTTGTTAATTAATCGTCTAACCATCCATGATTAACTTCTGTATACCAGGATATGATTTATACACCTCTTAATCGTTCTCTTTCTTGTCATAATTGACGAAGATACGAAGACAGCAGGTGAAATGGTTTACCCACTTAGAGAGAATGCCTTGTGACACCATACCATACAAAGCATACATGGAAAGAGAAGAAGGACGTAGAGCACGAGGTAGACCAAGAACGAGATGGAAAGATAACATCAGAGAAACTCTACAACAGCACGATGTGCCTATGGTCGAGGC